AGATCGGCATCTCTCTGTGGTCAGCAAACTCCAACAGCAGCCTTGGAAGAGGGAACCAGAGATGGAAATCCTTGAAGAGGCATTCGTAGACGCAGAACCATCCCTCCGGAGCATCCCATGGCCGATCTGATGGGCTCGGTACCATAAAAATGACCTCAGGGCCGATATCGCATTCCTCATTGAGCGTGACGAAGGACTCCATGGTCGACTTGGTCGGCATTACTCCGAGGAGATTATTGCAGATCGGCTTCGGAGCTGGCTCACCCTTCTTCCTCTTGATCTTCTTAATGGGGGGATTCAGATCGACAATCCCAAACTGGTTCGCCTCGTCTTCAGCAATAAGTGTATTCAGTTCGTCGGAGATATCCATCTCGTTTGATCCATCCCTCTCGTCTGATTCGTCCTGCAACTCGAGGATCAGAAACGGTTCCCTGGTCGACGCCTCTCCACTCCTCAAAACAGCCCCGACCTGATCGGCGTGGAAGCGCTCGGCTGCTGCACTCTGATTTTCCTTCCTGACTTGTTCCTGGAAAGCCCGATCTAACATAGATAATTCACTGGCATCAGAGGACCGATCTGACACTGATTCGTTTATGACGATCTCTTTTCCCTTTGATCGGCTTCTCACGGTCTGGTCGTCTTTCTCCATTTGAAGGAATTCGTCCAGAGAAACGCCGACCTCATCGGCCTTTTCTTTGCCGACCTGATTCTCTTTGATTCTGATCAGCCCTCCCTGATACTTAAACTATTGGTCATCGTGGATTCAAAACTTCAACAAAGGCTTCAGGCTAATCGGAGAAATTTCACAGCGGAGATCGAACGAAATACGGCGGAGGCCTAATCGGAAACTTCTAAACTAGAATAAATGAAGAGCAGAGAGGAGAGAGAAGGGAGCAAACCTGATTTTGACAGAAGTTCGCTAAATTGCAGAAGTGAAGAAATGAGGACTGAACCCCTCTTATTTATACTAAAATGAGAGCGGTTCTCAAGAATCATCATTAGATCGGCGACCTTTCGCATTTCTTTTCAATATATTTAAATCGGTCTCTTCACTTTCCTCCTCTCATGTTTGACATGTGTCAAACCTAGTTCTGCATGTGTAGACTTGGGCCTAATCTACAAAGCCTTTGGCGGGAAGTTTTCGCGCCCAAATCCACAACCTGACTCGCACCTATGTACCGCTCTAAATTCCAAGTAAGATTGTTTCCTTCTGATTACATTTTGTTTTTCTAACTCTTCTCGCAGCCAATCAGAATCCACATCGAGCAACATTTCTCAAAATTCGCCAAGTAACGTGCCCTCACTTGCCGAACTGGAGGGGGGGGACTTACTGTTAGAGATGAGATTCATACCATCTCTACAAGCCCGATATGAATTCTGGTCGGCCCATCTTACAAGATTTAGGCCGGCTGAATAAATGGAAATCTTCCATTTATCAAGCGAAGCCGGGAAAAAAGGAAATTTGTTCTTGTCGGCAAGAAGACTTTCTTATTCCGAACATACATGGAAGACCGACCTGATCGGCTATAAATAAGGGAGGTCCTCGACTTCTCAGATCATCCAAAAATCAACTCTCGAGACCTAAGGCAAATTAAGCAATCCAATTGTTCTTAGCTCTCGATTTACTTTCCTATAAAAGCTTAGGTCGGCGTCCTTATTCCGACGACCTAACATCTGTGTATTCTATCAAGCTCCGGCTATTCTTAATAAAAAGATCTCTCTTTAAACCCACAAACCCTAATTCTTTATAGATCGAACTTGAGGTTTTACATTGCAAAAAAATGAATAATATTCAAAAAAAAAGTATAAGATAAGATTATAATATATTAAAAATGAGAGAAAACCATTCTAACGGAACTGAATAAAAACCAAAACACAAGTAGTTCTAATGGTTGAGAACAAATTCCAAAAAGGAGTTTCCCTTGTAAACTTTGGGGAATGGTAGAATGGGGGAAAAACGCGATTCCACAAGAATTTTGCCAATCAGAAAAATTTGCGGAAAAACGTCAAAACTCGAGTTCTACGGAATGGTGGAAATACTTATAAAAAATACAACAAAAATTTAATTAAGTAGAAAATTGTGTTTTAAGTAGCTTATTTGCGGAATCAATATTTTATATCATTCAATTATATAATTAATTATATTTTATTATTTAAATAAATATATTTTTACTGCATATATTTATATAATGATCAGATTATATCTGTAGATTAAATTTTACAATATATTTATATATTTTATAGTGAATAAAAATAAAAATAATTATAAATAATTACAATAAAAGTTTTGATTTTTCTAGTTATATTAAAATATGTTTTTTTTATAATAATTAATATTTTAATTTTTATTATATCAAATTATATATAAAATATATTATTACGGAAAATTAATTTTATATTTTTTCTGTCATTTCGACATTCCAGATAATTTATCCAATCATATCAAAAATAATTATTCCAATATTCTGCATTCTACCATTCTGCAGCTTAATTTTTTTCACTATTTCGCGGTTTTATTGGGTTACCAATCGGTGTATGGCCCATAAATAAGATCTCTCTCTCTCTCTCTCTCTCTCGTGAGGAAAACAAACTGCTTCTTGCTTTTGTAATTCGTCTTTTCTTTTGTATTGTCTTAAGAAAAGTCATTTTCAAATTTTCAGTAAGCACTACAAATGATTCCGCTGCACTATAAGTTAATATACCAAATTGCAAATCATTCAGATCCACTTTACCCTTGAACAGTGCTTTGATGCCCTATTCAAATTTAAAAAATAAGTTTTTTCATATATTATAATTAATATCATAAAAATTAGAAAATAAATTATAGTTAAAACTTCATAAAAAATCTAATTTCAAAAAACGATTTCAGTTTATAAATAATTTACAAAAAAATAAAATAAAACAGTAGAAAATAATTAATTTTTAAAAATTAGTATTCTTTGCATTTTGTTTACAAAATCATTCATTAAATTTACATAATCTAGTTTTTCAACCATAATTATCTCAATCAATAACAAAACCAACACATTCAATCTTTTTTCTGTTATCGTACACCACATATAATTTTTAATCAGATTCTTCAACTTAAAAAAAAACTTCTTTCAGTCATGATAACTGATACCAAAATAATTAACAAAATACAACAAACAATTTTGGTGTTTGTATAACAATCCTCCATTTTTTTATAAAATCTAGCACTTCAATAGGTTTCTGAATTTTTTTATGATATTGATACTTGGTATTTTACTCGGTGTTTGTATAACAATTCTCCATTTTCAGAATTTAGTTAATAAAAACAACAGTAAACTTAATTAGCATGTTTGTTAATAAAAGATCATAAAATTGCTAACAAAAACTCTATAAACATTACTATTATAAAATAAATTAAATTATTTATTATCACATTAATAGAGAACTAATACAAATAAGAAAAATATTTAAAGAAAATGTCTCTAAGTAACTAATACTAATAAGGAAAATATTTTAAGATGATGCTCTTAAAATTTAACTGTCCTAATCTTTTGCTTTGGTGGCTTAGCCTATGGGCCGGCCCCGCCCTTGAATTATTTAGTTTGACTGTTAACCCACAACACCCCCCCCCCCCCCCCACACACACTATATGTGGTTTTAGACCCATTTTACCATCGATTTAAAATGCATTTCTGAGAGCAAAATCTCTGTTTATAAGGTTTTGTATGTCAAATATGTTTTTTCAATTTTTTTCATATACTTCCGCTTTACATATCAAATAAAACAAAGTGATGTATTTTGAGCCTAAGAGCAACTCCAATAGAGACACTAGTAATGGGGTCTTATTGATTAATTATTAATATTTTCTGTATTTTATGTATGTTAGATACTTTGTAATATTTTGTTGTTTTGTAGGGATACAATAAAGACATTTTTGATGGGTGTCTTAAAAATAAATTATTTTTTTAAAAATAAATTTAAGTACACTTATCTTAACAACTTTTAAAACATAATATATCTTAACAACTTTTAACATCTTAACAATTTTTAAAACATAATAAATGGCAAAAAAAAAAATTTATTTCTCTGTGTCCACTCAGAACTTGCCACGTGGCTGTTCTTAACCTAAAAAAAGATCTTAATATGGATACTGGTCTAAAATTTTAGATACCCTTTATAATTTTTTTATTCTATTATATTGTTAAGAACCATGCTTTAGACTCTTGGAGATCACCATTGGGATTGGTCTGAATCGAAAAAAGGACTCGATTACGGGGTTTCACGCTTAAATTCGGATCCCAAAATCTTCAAGAAAGAGCCCACAATGAATCCTCTAAGACTTCTTAGAAAGCCAATCATAGAGGAGAAGAAAGCCATCAAAGTTACTACTCGTGAGGATCATGAGTTGGACTGGATTGGATGACCCATTTTGACATCCCTAGAAACATCGGCGAATAGGCGATTCAGGAAAGAAACAAGAAATTAAAACAGGAGAATCAATAACCGCAGACCCAAGACCCGAGGAGCAAGCCTGCCAGCGACCGTGTGTTAGATTTGACTTTTGTTCTCTTGCATCATACTTGCCAATTAAATGTTACGTAATATTATACTAATTTAGTATAAAGAACTCTGTAGCAGAAATTCGGTAGCCTGATCACGGGAGTCCTCCGTATAAATTGTGTACTGAGCCCTCTACTTTGTTTTCCTAACTAGTATTTCTTTTGTTAAATCATATTTTTATTATCTTTTTCTAAAGATGATATGGTAAATCCGTATGTACTGTGTTTAAAGTTATCATATTCCATTGTTTCTCTCTTTCTTTAACCATTACTTCTATTCTTTTTTTGTTCTAACAAATATAACTAATGTACAAAATTTTAATCGTGCACTAAAATTTAAAAATCTTTAAATGCAGATCACTGCCAACTCAATTCTTGAATCATGTCACAACCTTATCGGTTGTTGACATATCTTTCAATCAGGTTAATTAAAACTCTACCATGTATCATTCTTTATATACCTGGCATATATGTGTATATAGAGAGAAATATACTTCAATTCGTTTCCAAACCTACATTCTCCTCCCCTCTTTCTCTCGCAAAATGGACAGACCTCTTGTAAAAGTGAAAAATGAAAGTCATAGCAACCAGTACCATCATCCATCATCATCATTTCATCCAAAATCTCCAACCAACCAGGAGCAGCACCAGCATGGTCTAATTTCAATGAATGCTATGATCATCATTGTCATCTCCATCATCTCCATCTTCATTATCTTAGCTATTCTTCTTATAATCCTTCTACTTTATCGACTTAAATCCGTAAGAGACAAATCACATCACTTAAATTGCAAAGAAAGTTGCAGCATCAACAATGGTGGACCTTCTACAAGCTACAGCTATACTTCTAGCCCTGGTAAAACATAAATTCTTTTATTTTTAATAGCCGGAATAAATCTAAGACCGAAATTCAAATTAAAACAGTAATTCTTTTGTTTGTAACAACCGGAATAAATCTAAAGAAATAATTCAAACTAAAATGGCCAAGAAGAAAGCACATCAACTTTTGTAGATGATGGAACTTGATTCTTGGCATTGACCCACATGAAGAATCCTCTATCCACTCGAACAAACCACTAGCCCACACACTCTTGGTTATTAATTTTTAGTTTCTCATCCCAAATGCTCAATTTTTTATTTGAAATCTGTATTTTCTTGTTAGATGACATCAAGAGAGATTGTCTATACTCAAGGAACCCAACATCATTCAGACAATTGCCCCCACATACTAAGAGTTGCAGAAGAAGCCGAGCAGAAGGAGTAGAAGTGTACACATATAAGGAATTAGAGATTGCAACGAATAATTTTAGCGAAGAGAAAAAGATCGGAAGTGGAGGATATGGAGATGTGTACAAGGGAGTATTGAGTGATGGAACTGTTGCGGCCATTAAAAAGCTTCATATGCTTGATAATGGTAGTAACCAGAAGCACGAAGAGCGTTCCTTTAGGCTTGAGGTTAGTTGTTCCCAATTATTGTCATTCTTTTTTTTTTTATCTACTTTTTCCTGCTTATTTATTGTTTCCATGTTATCAACAAATACATATAATTAAGTTCAAAAAAAAAACAAATACATATAATTATTTTTTCAACATAACTTTTAAATAAATTACGGTTGCGATAGAGCAATTTTAAAGCTGTGAAACTTCGACGTGTCTCTTTACTATGGTTAGGTGAGTCACGAGTCACTGTATCACGCATACCCTTAAGGCTATACTATTTAAAACTCTGGTATTATATAATAAACAACAGCACTGGCATTTTTAATAGCGTTTTATAGTATTTGCTTTTCATAACATATATACATTCATTATGTGGATTTTATATTCAGATGATGGCAGCGCGGCAATTAAATTGTCACAAACAACAAAACTATATCTTATATATGGTGTTTATTTTTTGCTAACCAACTATCATGGATATCCATTTTGTTTTGGTAAATTGGTTTGATCTTATCTGGAATATATGCATTAATTACAACCAGTAAACTATAGTTTAGTAAATTTATTTCATGAAATAATTGATGAATTGTGTCTTAAGAATTTACCTGTTTCATACATGGTTTTCTTGGAATACATCACGACCAATAAACTATAGTTTAGTAAATTTCTTTCATGAAATTACTAGCAAATTTACTCGTTTAAGAGCATGATCATGGGTGGTTTCAAACTTCATATAATAAATACTATTTACAAATTTAATATTCAAACTTTATAAACGGGTGGAATATATTCTCTTTCTGTGTAGGTTGATCTTCTTAGTCGATTACAATGCCAATATTTGGTGGAATTACTTGGATATTGTGCAGATCAAAATCATAGGATCCTGGTATATGAATATATGCCAAATGGTACACTCGAACATCATCTCCACGATCATAGTTGTAAGAATCTTAAGGATAAATCTCAGCCATTGGAGTGGGGAACCCGGCTTAGGATCGCCCTCGATTGCGCCCGAGCCCTCGAGTTTCTCCATGAAAATACTGTCACCGCTGTGATCCACCGGAATTTCAAGTGTACTAACATTGTATTGGATCAAGATAATCGAGCTAAAGTTTCAGATTTTGGATTGGCAAAGACTGGTTCTGATCAATTAAACGGTCAAATATCAACAAGGGTGCTCGGGACCACAGGATACCTTGCTCCAGAGTAAGTCACACATCACATTGTTGTCATATATTTCAAGAAAATAAAAAATATCTTTAAAATAACATACTATATGGCACCTATACAAATATCAACTATGATATCCATAGTTTTAATTATATATATAAGAGATTGTGATTATTAAAAATTCTCTGAAAAGTCATAACCATATAAGATTTTATTGGGTTGAGATAGGTATGCCTCTACCGGAAAGCTTACCACAAAATCAGATGTTTATAGTTATGGAATAGTTTTATTACAACTCTTAACGGGTCGTACACCTATCGATTCAAGGCGTCCGCCTGGACAAGATGTCCTTGTTTCTTGGGTAAGGAAACCATAATTTAATCTTCAATATGATAAATTTGATTTTATCTTATACACTTCCACGAAAACCGCTATAAACTAGTTTAAATTCGATTAATAGTGAAATGTGTCATACATTTTCAGGCTCTTCCAAGGCTGACCAACAGAGAGAAAGTAAGTGAAATGGTGGATCCAACCATTCAAGGCCAATACTCACAGAAAGATCTTATTCAGGTGTGACTTCATCACTTTCTCTATTTTTTTTTTCTTTTGTCTTGCGGGTTTTTTTTTGGGTCCATTATTTAACAAACAAGTCCTTCTTAGAGTCATATTACAATTTCGATCTAATTGGCATTTTTTATATTCAGGTAGATTATAGGTTGCAACTCAATAAATCATGTGACATGAAAATTGCCCATTTTTGTGTCACCTAAAATGTCTAATGTAGTTAATTTGGAAGCATATATATTATATGTGATTCGATCCTTGACCTCGACCAATGACTCCTCAAACACAAAATTACCATAGTTGATTGATCGAACAGGACTTACACAACAGTTATTTTACTATTGAACTACTTATGTTTGGCGAGTGGCGACTTAGTGAAAATAATAGTAACAGAAAAGAGTTGTGTGTAGTCTAAGTCCCCGTAATAAAAACTAACTTAATTAGTATATGAAAAATACCAAAATTCAGAAAACATGAATATATAACCATGGTGATAGATGTGGTAGATCACCTTGTAGCTTTTTCTTCTCTCTATTTTCATTTTTGAGCAAACTTTTTCTTCTCTCTATATATACAGTTTTTAGCTTGTAAAAAGATATATGCTACCGACCGACATCATATAACAAATTTTGGTTAAAGAAACCAACGACCAGACGTAACAATAACAAGGAAAAATTGCTTTGTTTAAATATCTATGAAAATCAACTATTTTTAGATATTTTTCAATATATACACGTAGATTTGTTTTGAAAAAGAAAAAAAAAAAAGACAAACACTTTGCTTATTAACTACATCCATGAGTGAAGGTTGTTATTTAAGAAATTTTTTTTTATAAATCTGAAAAATCTAGATTGAAAATCTTTTTCTTATATTTGGTCATTTTTTCTGTCTATATGTATATCTATAAGCGCAAGAGTAGTGATATATGTTATATATGAAAACAGGTCGCAGCCATAGCAGCAATGTGCGTGCAATCTGAAGCAGATTACAGACCATTGATGACAGACGTTGTTCACTCTCTTATTCCTCTTGTTAAAGCTTACAACCAAAGTTCTCTTTCTTCTCGGGTTCACAGCCGTAGAGAAAGCTTGTCATATGAAGATATTATGCCCTGACACTCTTTTTATTTACAGTCTAACACTCGTTAAATTAAGATTCTTTCTGCTATTGTATATGTATGGATAAATGAATCAATTTATCATTGTGCAAAAATTTATCTATATTAAAACATCAGTATTTGATATGAGCATGGGGACATCTAACTTGGAAGATGAGCATGTAGCCGTTGGAAATCAAGATCAAGTTCGAAAGGAAGCTGAAGAAATTCTTAAAGTGTAAGGAGGTCCAATGACCCGAGCTAAGACTAAGGCATTTCAAAATGCCTTAGAGGTTCTACTTAATCAGTTTAAGTATAAATCAAGTGCTAATGAGGCTACACGTTCCACATTGGTCTGCATTGTAGCCGGGGATTAAGCTAGTGGGTTTATGGGACATTTTGTGCTCTATTTCCCTTAGTGAGTTTTGTCCCATTGGGTTTTCTCACTAAGGTGTTTAACGAGGCAAGTGTTCCCACATTGTCATTGTCCATTAAGCTTAGCCTTGTACCAAGCCCACTTCTTTCTACCATCTGTGGCTTGGAAGTGTCTAGGTTCATTTTCTTGTTTTTAGTTGTTTCTTTCCTTGTAGTTTGTGTTATTTTGAACCGAGTCATGCATGGTTAGTCAAGGGGGTTTGTCCCAAGACTAACTTATTGCTCTCTTGTTGTCTGTTCTCCTTCCTCTCTCTTCTCTCCTTAAGACCGTGTGTTAGTTGTTTTGAGGTTTTCATCTATCTTTGAATAAAATTTCCTTTGCAAAATAGATCATCTCTCTTGGTGCGTCATATCCTTGAGAAATCCTACTTAGAACCCTAGGTGCGTCATATCCTTGTGTTCTAGTAGTTTTGTATGAAGAGCCTTTCACCTCTCTTGCTACAATCCATCTTCACTCTTTCCCCACTTTCCCCCTTCAACTGGATCAACCTCTTATCATCGTTCGGATCATTCCATCATCACACACCAAGTTGTTCGTGGGTTAGCTCGAAAGGTTCGATCATTAGCCAGGATTATATCAAGTGGTATCAGAGCAAACCTTCCAAAGCTAAGTTCTTCTGATCCGATCCGTGCTTGTTTAACGTTTCAATATTTTTGACCTTTCATCTACTGTCGAAAATATTTTTAAAAATTATTGTTCATCACGGTTTTGGTCTTTTTTATTTCACAAAATTATTTTTAAAATACTTTAGAATTTTTATAAATTCTAATTATCAAAGAACTACTTACTGCGAGAGAATTTTTATTTTTTAGGAGCAATGGCCGGGGAAGATGACCCGGAACCTTCAGCCGTACGTGCCTAGAGGATTTTGGTCGAGGCTCTCACGACTGAGATGAAAAAGATGTTACAAACTGAGGTAGCCAAGATCAGACAAGAGTCTGAACAGAGAGAAGTGGCTCAGAGACGTCCGAGCAAAGAAACCGCAAGAGAAGACGAACAAGAAGGACATGCTAGTGGACATCAGACTGATCAGTACTACAAAAGCAGTAGCTCTTCTAAAAGTGGCCGTAGAAGCTCTAGACAAGGCAGAGAACGTGTACAAGACAACTTGGCCGGTCTAAAGTTGAAGATTCCCTCTTTTCACGGCAAGTGTGATCCGGATGCCTACCTTGAGTGGGAAACGAAGATAGAGTTGGTATTCAACGTTCAACATTATACTGAGGAGAACCGTGTTAAAGTAGCGGCCACAGAGTTCTACGACTATGCCCTAAGCTGGTGGGATCAACTTGTCACAACCAGAAGGAGAAACCAAGAGTATCCGGTTACCACATGGAACGAGATGAGAAACTTGATGAGGAAGCGGTTTGTTCCGAGCCATTACCACCGCGAGTTACATCAGAGGCTTCGGAGATTGGCACAAAGCAACCATTCAGTGGAGGAATATTTTCAGGATGGAAACGCTTATGCTTCGTGCAGATATCTTGGAAGATAAGGAGGCTACGATGGCTAGGTTCCTCGGAGGCCTTAACCGCGAGATTCAGGACCGCCTGGAGACACAGCACTATGTTGACCTGGAAGAAATGCTTCATAAGGCAGTGTTGTTTGAGCAGCAAGTTAAGAGAAAGGGGTCGTACCGTTCGGGTTCTAGTACCGGACCAAACAATCAGACAGTTTACCTGCGGGACGACATAAACTTGTATCGGTCAGTTTACCCACATAACAAGAAGAATCATCCGAGAGAGGACAAGCCAATCAGTTCCAATCCCGAAGCTTTCCAACCATACGGAAAACCTAAGGAGGCTAGTACCAAGGCTCGTGATGTGAAATGTTTTAAATGCCAAGGCCGTGGACATTACGCCAATGAGTGCATCAACAAACGTGTTATGGTGTTACTAGAAAACGGCGACATAGAATCAGAGGATGAAAAGCAAGAGGAAACAGAGGAGGAGCATGAGTTATTGCCAGTACAAGGAGAGTTACTTGTAGCAAGAAGAACATTGACCGTGCAAAGCAAGCCGGAGGAAAAAGATCAGCGTGAGAACCTGTTTCACACCCGTTGTTTGGTTCAGGGAAAGGTTTGTAGTTTGATCATAGACGGCGGGAGTTGTGCTAATGTTGCGAGCAGTATCATGGTCAAGAAGCTGAGTTTGCAAGCTACTCCTCACCCAAGCCCGTATAAGTTACATTGGTTGAATGATAAAGGAGAAATGAAGGTCACTGAACAAGTCTTAGTGCCATTAGCCATCGGTGAGTATAAAGATGAGATACTTTGTGATGTACTACCTATGGAAGCAAGTCATATCCTGCTTGGGAGGCCGTGGCAATATGACCGCCAGGTGATACATGATGGATTCTCAAACCGTCACTCCTTTGAGTTTAAGAGTAAGAAGAATATTTTGATTCCCATGACTCCTAAAGAAGTCTACAATGATCAAAAACACACCTTGAGGTCAGCCAAACATTTAAATTTCTTTGCTAAGGCTGGACAGGTTAAGAAAGCTTTATACTCTGAAACACCTATGCTGTTATTTGTTTATAAGGAAACATTAACCACCATGGCTGATCTTACACCGGTGTATCCGAGTGAAATGCAAGCTCTTTTGCAGGATTATGAAGACGTCTTTCCAGAAGAGACGCCAACGGGACTACCTCCCATCCGGGGTATAGAACACCAAATAGACTTCATTCCCGGGGCATCATTGCCAAACCGTCCCGCCTACCGTACCAACCCCGTGGAGACCAAAGAACTACAGAAACAAGTGGATGAACTGATGGCCAATGGACATATCCGTGAAAGCATGAGCCCTTGTGCGGTTCCAGTACATCTAGTTCCAAAGAAAGACGGTAGCTGGAGGATGTGTGTTGACTGCCGTGCAATCAACAATATCACGGTGAAGTATCGCCATCCCATTCCTAGGCTAGATGACATGTTAGATGAATTGCATGGTTCTAACATTTTTTCCAAAATTGATTTAAAAAGTGGTTACCACCAGATCAGAATGAAAGAAGGGGATGAATGGAAAACCGCATTCAAAACCAAGCATAGTTTATATGAATGGCTGGTTATGCCATTCGAATTGACCAATGCCCCTAGCACTTTTATGCGTTTAATGAATCATGTTCTTAGGGCGTATATAGGCATCTTTGTGGTAGTTTATTTTGATGACATCCTTGTTTATAGCAAAGGTTTAGAAGACCATGTAGAACACATTAGACTAGTGCTTGATTTGCTCAGAAAAGAAAGACTATACGCTAACCTTAAGAAGTGTACTTTTTGCACTTCTAGTCTTGTTTTTCTTGGTTTTGTAGTAAGTTCAGAAGGAGTCAAAGTGGATGAGGAAAAGGTGAAGGCCATCCGTGACTGGCCAAGTCCTAAGACCGTAGGAGAAGTAAGAAGTTTCCATGGCTTAACCGGCTTTTATAGAAGATTCGTGAGGGACTTTAGCACTATAGCTGCTCCACTCACCGAAGTCATCAAAAAGGAAGTTGGGTTCAAATGGGAAACGGCTCAGGAAGAGGCTTTCCAAAGCCTAAAAGAGAAGCTTACTAACGCCCCTGTTCTTATATTGCCTAATGCAAGACAAGCAACCCATAGCATTTTTCAGTGAGAAGCTTGGAGGAGCCATGCTCAACTATCCGACATATGATAAAGAGCTGTACGCCTTGGTGAGAGCCTTACAAACGTGGCAACACTACCTCTGGCCTAAAGAATTCGTTATTCACACGGACCATGAGTCCCTCAAACACCTCAAAGGTCAGCAAAAGCTCAACAAAAGGCACGCAAGGTGGGTTGAATTCATAGAAACCTTCCCATATGTCATAAAATACAAACAAGGTAAAGACAATGTGGTTGCTGATGCATTGTCAAGAAGGTACACTCTTCTCACTACTTTAGAAGCTAAGTTGCTAGGATTTAATCAGCTTAGAGAGCTATATAAAGATGATGATGATTTTTCAGAAACTTTTGCTTCTTGTTTCAAATCTCCTTCTGGTAAATTCTTTAAACAAGATGGATTTCTCTTTTATGAGAACCGTCTTTGTGTACCTAATTGTTCTATGAGAGATTTGTTTATCAGGGAAGCACACGGTGGCGGATTAATGGGTCACTTTGGCGTAGCAAAAACCTTAGAAGTGATGAAAGATCATTTCTATTGGCCACACATGAGACGGGATGTTGAGAGAATTTGTGGGAGATACAATACTTGTAAACAAGCCAAGTCCAAGGTTCAAAATTACGTTTGTACTCACCCTTACCCATACCCTCTCATCCGTGGAATGACATTTCTATGGACTTTGTTTTAGCCTTGCCTAGAACAAAGACAGGTAAGGACTCTATTTTTGTTGTAGTGGATAGATTCTCTAAGATGGCTCATTTTATTGCTTGTCATAAAACAGATGATGCTTTGCATATAGCCAATCTTTTTTTTAAGGAGATAGTTCGCATTCATGGTATGCCTAAGTACATTGTTTCGGATAGAGACACTAAGTTCCTCAGCTTCTTTTGGAAAACCTTATGGTCTAAGCTAGGAACTAAGCTTATGTTTTCTACTACTTGTCATCCGCAAACTGATGGTCAGACCGAGGTAGTAAATAGGACTTTAGGTACATTGTTGAGAGCTTTGATTAAAAAGAACCTTAAGTCTTGGGAGGATTGTTTGCCGCATTTAGAGTTTGCATATAACCATGTTGTGCATTCTGCTTCTAAGTACTCACCTTTTCAGATTGTTTATGGGTTCAACCCCACTTCTCCTTTGGATTTAATGCCTTTACCTTTGAGTGAAAGGATAAGTATAGACGGAAAGAGAAAAGCTGAATTGGTCTAATTAATACATTCGGATGCTAAGAAGAACTTAGAAGAGAAGACTAAGCTCTATGCCAAACATGCGAATAAAGGAAGAGACAAGGTGGTTTTTGAAGCTGGTGATCAAGTTTGGGTACATCTAAGAAAGGAGCGCTTCCCAGCAAAAAGAAAATCCAAGTTGATGCCACAGATTGATGGTCCTTTTACAGTTACAAAGAAGATCAACGACAATGCCGATCAACTTGACCTCCAAGG